AACACAAACACAGAACTCTTGAAATTAACCCGCTGATCGTACAGGCGTGAATTGCGCCCCGCCCTTATGGGAGCTTCGTTGATTATCCGTTCCTCTCACGCCAGTTTCAGACTTTGCGAACGCTTGCGAGCGAGCTAGCTCATAAGCGGTTGGGATACTAGCGTCGGGCCGGCGAATCAGCAACTGAATTCCTGGTGTATAGCTCGAACCGCTGGAGCATTGCTGGTGCACTCCGAATCCCTAGCGAATCCATGGATTCGCCAGCGATTCGCTTGATTCGCAAAGTCTGACACCGGCGTCATGTGCCTAAATACGGTGGAATACGGTAAAGAGATGGTGGTCAACCAAAGAGGGTCCCGTTGGCACAAAGCGCAAACCACGCCCATACGATTAGCGCGCAGTGTAATTATACAATAATAAGAATTTTAGCAACTTTTTTTGCTCTCTTTTAACACTAGTAAGTAATTTACCACAACTTCTCCCATTTGGATGCTGTAGCACACACATCTCAATAAGCTTGAAGGCACTGCCACGACAGTTCTCCAAACCTGGGTGAAAGCACTTTTATGGTACAAGAACCGGTCCCGGGGCAGTCAGTAGCCTGCAAGTACTCTCACAAACAAGGTAAATATGGGCTGCGCAACAAACTCCGCCCACAGCACAAACTCCCGCCCATCACACACTTGGGATGGAAGCTACAAAACATGCGTAAAAGGCAATTTCTGGAAATTTGTACACGGCACATTACTATCGCCGGCTGTTTATAAGGCCGTAAGTCGCAGATGGTTTAACTTAGCCCTTCAACGCGTACAACGCGTTCGCTCAAGCGCTGCTGACACAATAGTCGAGTTTCGTCGACGTAAGCCCATTTAAAAATCATATGAAACACAAAATTATTGAATATCGATCAGAAAAAAGTTATTGCTCTAAAAATGATGGCCGAATTCGACGACGCAACGCGACCGCACGCTTCGACGTTTGTTGAAAAATCATGCCTCATGTCAGGTGAATACAATACAAATAACTTACCTTCACACACTGGGCAACATAACTTTCTGGTCCCGTGAATTTTCGGTCTCATCTTTGATTTTGTAGCCATACGATGAAGTAAAGATAATGCCATAGATTGTGTTCTTCTGGCTTGATGGTCTTCGAATGTCACGGGTCGATTATCGAACCTTAAATAAGGCATCATTTCCAAATTTGGCAGAAGAATATCATTCTAGATAGCCTATTGCCAACCCTGCTGGCCTGCAGAACAATGAGTCCCAAAATGCAGTGGGTATGCCAAATTTTGCGGTTGAAAAGAAAAACGGTGGTGAAACAGGGAGCGGTCAATCTGGAAGGATTCAAAAGAAATGGACCGCCAAATTCCTGGGAGGCGTGGCGCGATCCATTGGCATTAGAGCGCACGGCCCCACCCTGTTGTGGACTGGACAACTCGTCCGCGTCACTTAAACATAATTCAACAGTTGATCGACCTGGTCAGTTGGGTCTCAGAGAATCACGATGAGCCTCAATAATCTTTAAAAGAAGCGGATGGCTTTTTACTGGCCTTCACGCCAAGACAAGAGAAGTGCGATGGAATGAGGTGCGCGGACGAGTTGCCACAGCAAGGATGTGGCAACTATGACCTGTGCGCTCCAATGCCAATGGGAATCGCGCCATATGACGCACACCCCCGAAAACCTTTGTGTTTGTGACTTCTTATTTCTCCCATCTACTTTGGCGCTAGGCGTATCTTCGGCAATAATCGGCAACAAGCGTAAGCTCGTATAACTTCTCGCTGCAAAGAAAGTACGAGGCACCAATGAGAGAAGGTTGTAGTAGGGGAGAATCAGGCACTCGGCGAATCAAAACTATGAGAAATCGTATCAGTAACGGTAGGGCTTTTAGGATCGCACCAATCGGCGACTTCTGACGGACATGCGTCACACATAATCCTACGGAGGACAGCTCTCTTGAGATATGACTAAAAGCGTTCACTATACAGCCGAATTATCGTGCTGCTGCCTTTAATTACGAAGACGCTGGGGAGCTCACTCGACAGGTGATTTATAAGCGAGATATTAAGTTTTTTTTTCATCATACACTGGAGAAAGCAAGGTCACGGCGCAATCAAAGAGGAGTCAATTTGAAGTTTGTACAGACTCTTCTTCTTTTCTTTTGTCTGCTATATGAAAATATTTGGTCATAGTGGACAGGTCGCTCAAAGCACCTCTTATCAGAATGATCAATGGTACTAGGATTGCTTTGTCTGATATTTTGCGTCATGCATCAGTAGACAAGCAGTGTAGGGCGTGTGGTATTATATAACAACGCGGCGTCAGCCTTGTAACGGGATTGCGAAGACTTTTTTCAGACTCTTCTCGAAAAAGCCTGAGAAGCTTCGTTACCGGGAATCAGGAGCTGGCTTTCACTGGCGTAACTTCCTCGTCCCTTCTTCGCCCTGCCGCCTTCCCCTCCTTTCAATGAAAGTTGTGGGGTACCTGACAGGAGGCCTGTCGCGCGGCGAGTAGGCAGTAACGCAGACGTGTCTGCCGAAGAGTTGCTGTGGCGATTTGGCGTCGCTACGACTCGTCCGCTGACAGTCTACGTCTCTGCCTACTCGCCTCGATACGGGCCTCCTGCCGTACCCGAAGGATTGATTTGTAGAGGGATGGAAGGAGATGGAAATAGTACATTGAGACGGGGTAAAGGGGAGGGGAGAAGTGGTCGTACAAGGACTAATGGAGAATTTCCCTATGTCTAACGCCGATAACTTCTTCGGTTCATTACCAAAAGGGTCGGATACCCCGCGAACTCACTTTCCACGTTCCAGTCCACAAATGAAGCACGTATTTTTCAGTATGTCCTCTTTGTCGTTCTTTTCTGTCCTCAAATCACCGAAGGTATCGATGATCACACCAAAAATGAGATTCAGGGTGATAACGATAAGCACCACGTAGAACGACAAATCGTAGACGATACGGTAGTAGAAGAGCTTCTCCTGAAACAGAGCTCAACTATTCTCCGCTGCATTTCATCAAGGTACCGTAAGCCCAAACTCACGTCGGGACCGATATTCCTCAACACATCGCCAATACCTCCACCATTACGTAGACCCCAATTCAACGTCGTAATGATGCACATTCGTAACGTGGTACACGATGGAATTTTTTTATCGTCTGTAATCGATTTGGAATTTTTGTGGCCCAAAATTCCAGCATTGATCAATACGGAATACCCTACCGTCGCTCTTATCATCATTTTTCTCTTCCACATCAGTTGCCGGCAGTGGACAACCACCATCAGCCGAACAAGTCTCTGGACTAGGATCTTTGGTGAATACCGTGGCCGGTGGTTCATCATCGAGTGGATCTACTTCGAGAGCGAAATCTGAAAAAAGGAACCCGTTAGGGAAATTGTGAAGTTACATTGCTTATGGGATCGTACCTCGTTGGAAGAACGTATATCCGATAATTGAAAATATGTAGACTAGAATAAGCGCCAGCAAACCGGTGAGAATGATCGATTGCCAATTTCTCGTCACCGAACTGATCACATTACGAAGTGTTTCTTCACTGGCCACGATGTCAAATAGCTGAATATTCGAATGAGAATTATTAGGAAAAGTGCGGCCGCATACAGTTGGGTTCTAGAAGGAGCTCTTATCCACGTGTATGACAGCTGCCCGCGACTGAGCTCGCCTTCTAGCATTAGTGCGACCAAAAGCATCACACCTTCACTGTGAAGGAGTGGCTTCGCCAGCATGGCGCGCTTTCAACGAAAGGAACAATTCACACCAATGTCCCGAGCGCCATCGAAACATTATGGGAAAGAGTAGGGATACCTTTGGTGGAATAAAAGGATAAAGGATAAAGCATTTGCCGTTGATCAATCCCTTTTTGGGATGCGGCACGCATTCTACTTCCATTTGTACATTCGCAGTGGCGTTTGAATGCGATGTGGCCTATACAATGACTTGCGGGGGCCAGCCGATGTACAAGTCAGTGTTTTTATCCTCCCAGACAAGTCTGGTACCAATTAACCGACCCCGGAGGGATGGAAGGCTTGGTTGGCCCTTTGGTGGAAATAAGAGCCGGAAATATGGGCGAGAAACTCGTCAAATTTCAAGAGAAGTGGAGGAAGCTGCCCTAGTAGACAGTGCATTCAATGACTGATTCCTTACTTAGGCCTTGTTAGTATTTCAGCGAACCCAGAAGATCATTAACAAAGTATTGGACCTGCCCAGTGTTATTCATCATGCGTAAGATTGTTTTGTTGAATTAGAAGCTTTCTACGGTGATTTGAAACTTAACTGGAATTTGCTCATACGCGAGAATTTCTAGTGAAATGATTTTTTCCATTCTTAATTCTTTCTCAATCCGAAACAAATATGCCGTTTAAGTGAAGTAGGACTATCTCTAAAACATATTAAAATTTGAATTGATTTGATTCAGCGGAAAAAAAGTTACAGTCGAAAAACAATTTCGGCGAAGACTTTTGACCGCTACTGTATGTCACCACAGAAGCATGATTTATATTTTTCTTTATACCAGAAAAGGGGTCCCTAGTTCGATTCCTCGTGGTGACAAGTTTTTGCATTTCGTGTTGACGTTTCAAATTTCGCGCAAAATGGAGTTAGCATGAATAATTAGTACCAAATTCATGATTAGGAACGTCAGTAACCCTTACAAATAGACTTTGATTGAAAAACTGGTGAAAAAGGTGTGACTAGGGACCCCCTTTTCTGGTATTCAGAGGGCCGTTCAGGAAAAATTAACCATGGTTCTGTGGTTCCCGCATGTGCCTCTATATCATGCAAAAGACCGTTTTGAAAAAGCTTGGCACACCCTGAAAGACCTTCCTTGTAAGATCACCAGCCACCTGAAGCCTAGTTGAGTAGGAGGATGTTCCCCAGTGGCTGGCAGCCTAGAACATCGTCTTCATGCTCGCATCGAGGTATGCCTTATAGCCTTCGAGTAGCAGTGCACCGACGGGTTTTTTTTGGTAGCCAGAATTGATTCATTGGACCGGTAGAGGAGAACTAACTGGCCTCTGAGCACGTTAACGCCACAACGTCATCGCGTGCCTCACCATGGCGATGCCACGCGAGCACTAAGAAGGGACACCTTTTGCTTGACTTCTCTCAAGATTTCCCATGCTTTTAAACTATCCCCTTACATGATCTGAAGAAACAATACTTCCTTCATTGACCCAGTCGCGACCGCGCAGGATTGCGCAATAGCAGGAGATGTCAGGAGATTTTTCTTCAATAAAATTTGAGTGATGGAGATTTCTCCTGCCCAGGGCTTGGCATAGATGAACGAGGTATGAAGATTCTTTTCAGGAAAGGAAAACTTTCCAAATTCCATCTCGCGAAACGCGCGCAGCTACCGGGTGCTGCCATGTGGTTAATAATGGATGCCCCGGCGTAATATGACTATCCAAATAATTCACAATGAATGAAAAGATATGAAAAAAGTCGGAATATCCGCAAAAGCGGAGAGACATGTTAATCTGAGATGGTTTTCTGATAATCTCCTACCCATAAGCATGATAAATACAGTCAAACGTGCTGAAATACTCACCAAAAGGCAATAAAGCATGGGATGAACGGTGAGACCAAAGAAACAGATGACTAGATAGCAGATATGATAGTGCAGTTCTCCATCAGACAATCGTACTGACCATGACTTATCCTCTAGACCTTTGTTGCTAGCATACGCCACCAGATGTACACATTTATTAATCAGCTGTAAGTAAAGCCATGAGTAATGGCAGAAGAGAACGAAAAACAACGAAAAATAACTGCAATAATTACAACCGTAAAGGCATAAGTATTCATATTCAATCACTCTTTTTCCATTAGACAGCAAAACATTAGCGGACAAATCCAACATCTGCCGTAAACGCGTGGTATTACCCGGTGGATAATTGCATATGTAAGGTCGAGAAGGCATACCGAGTTAAGCTTCTGTAAATGGTGTGAACAGAGTCAACCCTGCGTTGCGCAGTTCGCAACGGCACGTTGAGAGATCCTCAACGCACGCTGTATGGGCGGAGACGCAGACGGCTCGAGCATGCGAGTGTGAATGTTCGCGCGAGAGAACGTGTCTAATCGGGCGAAACTGCGCAACGTGGCCGTTGAAAACTGCGCAACGCAGGGTTGACTGCTCACGCACCTTGACTGCTGTGGCTGATTCCGATGAGCATCGTTGAGCGGCGATTACGGGAGGCCCCTCCGAGGGAATTCACTATGGAATGTAATGAACTCAATATACCTATGGCGAGAAAAGAGAAGATGTCTGCCGAGTAGAACGTGGTATATGAGACGCCGCCCCCCCCCCCCCCCTTGTATAGCTTTGGCGCTCCCCGTGGACGAGCAGCGGCTAAGATTGCTTGAGTTTGATAGCTCCGTCAACGCGTTCGGAGGACATGCCACTCTATGAAAAATCAAAAACTAAACTAGTGGGTGGGGCGCTTTTGTGAGCAGGGGTGCTTTCGGTTTTCTGCTCAGCAACCAGCACATCTTTCGTCGTGAAAGCACCACGCCAAGCTTCTTTGGCAGCCAAGTAACTGCTTCGTGTGGCGCATATACCTCCCCAATGTGCTCCTTCTTTAACGTAATGGTTTCCTGCTTAAGGGATTAGTCTCTTAATGCATTCATGGATCCTTGGAGTCGAGTGGGTGAGGGCCAGATGATTCTCAAATTCTAGCGCTATAATACCTAGACCATGACATTGAATGTGACAAATCAGTCGGTGGTTATCGCGGTGAAATCGTTCAATCGCTGAGACTGATGAACTCAGAACCCGGCCTTACGAGTTCATTCTGGAGTAACAGGCCGCCGCGTGGACTGTGGGCACCGCTAAACCACTTCTAGGAACTCCGGGCCTGCATTCTTTTTTTGTATATTTTCTCAAGCGAACCTGAACCAGAGTAAACACGACATTATTGAACTGGAATCTAATTATCACCTGAGCCAATCCTATCAAATAAAGTGCTGGCACCACGCCAAGCAATGATATGAGCATTATTGCAATACTAAACATCACAGCTCCTATTGCCGTAATAATGTTCGAACTTTTCGCTAACGAAGAGCTGAAAATCAATCATTCATTAGGGACCTTGATCATCTGGAAAATTCATGACTTTCCCAACTTTAGGCAGCTTTTCCAAGAAGTTTCGCAGCACTGGTTTCATTTGAACGCGTTTTCAAAAGTTTTTGAAACTTGGGGTTAAGATTGATTTCTAGTGAGCTATCGAAACATGAGTACTTTCTTCTCAAGGGAACAGTAGTGATCCCTTGTTTGGGATGCGGCACGCATTCTACTTCCATTTGTACATTCGCAGTGGCATTTGAATGCGATGTGGCCTATACAATGACTTGCGGGGGCCAGCCGATGTTCAAGTCAGTGTTTTTATCCTCCCAGACAAGTCTGGTACCAATTAACCGACCCCGGAGGGATGGAAGGCTTGGTTGGCCCGGGCGACTCACGACCCAGGATTTGATCCCCGGACCCGCTCGCGTGGTAAGCGTGCCACTTGCCACTACACCACTTCCGCCCGTTGTGGTATAAACGTGGCGGTATACAACGATTGAGAGCACCTGATGTGAGAGTCAGTCCTTTCTAGCTTTCAAACGAGGTTGATCAGGCTAAGCAAATGGAAGGTTTGGTTGCTCTGGGAGGAGGTCGGGCCAGGGTCGTATTGGGATTGTAGTAAACGGGGCTACTTGCAACAACATGGGCTTCTCCTCAGATCGAAGAGCAAGCTAACAATGGAAAATCAAGATCAGTGGGCAGAAGAATTTCAGCTCGAAATCATCGAGACTAAGCAACCCTTCATGCAAAAATTAAATTTTGGTGAGAGCTTTCAATACCATCAAGTTAATCAGGCTTCAAATGAACGTAGCAAGAAAATAAGAAGCTGAAGAATGAAACATCAAAAACTCACTTCTCGTCCCATTGCGAATAAAGGAATATAATAGATATCACAGACGATGTGTACATAAAAGGATTAGATGCACTGAGACCCGCTGAAATTGGAACATATGGAAAGACATTTTTTGATTCAAATTTATTCAGCAATACTTACTGTCAGTTTTATCAAAGGGATAATAAAGAGCAATAATAATGTTGACTAGTACAGCAAATAGGAAAGCTAGTCGACCCCAGAGCCGAAGACGTTGAGTGCATGCGGAAAGATATGGCCGATCTGGAAACAGAGATGTAGTACAGCAAGCCTAATTGGAACCATGCCAAATTCGTACAATACATATTTCGTAAATCAGCTTAAAAACACGCCGGACACACTTCACATCGAATGAGTGTGTTTAAGCTCCAAAATGAAGCTACTGTTGCAGGTAATCAAACATTGAAAACCAACAAACAAAAAAATCACAGAGGCAAACACCCTTTTCCCCGAAACCCTCAGGAAGCACACTGCGTGGTTGTTCGCATAAACAAAATGAGAACGTAGCCGTTGTTCAGACCTCAGCCTTATTCTCTTTGAGGCGGCCCCAAAAACCGATCGGGGGGGGGGAAACCCTGAGGTTTTTTTTTGGGGGGGGGGTAACGAGGATGCTCCTCGACGTATCCATGGCCCGGCTGGGACTCTTACTGGAACTTGTGAAACTGGGGCGATGGAGGCGAAGACCTGACCATTTTCCGGCACACTCCATTTCATTGTGTCGACCAGGCCACTCATACCTACTTATTATTCCCGCCCACTCGTTGATCCACAAGGTGCAATGTAATTTGGTAAAGGTGCTTGTCGTAACACACGATTAAAATTGACATCTGTCCAAGAGAAAAACCTATGAAAATTTAGCTCACCTTGGAGCTTGCGTTGCCACTTCATTTCCTGGTACATCGCAGGCCATTGATCGAAAAACTCCGTAACTTTAGATCCCTAAAAATAGTGAAAGTACTTGAAAAACAAAGATAGTTGGAAAACATTAAAAGGCAGTTTACCACACCGCCTTCATCACCCGGCGCAGACTCATATTTACTTCGATAGTTTAATGTATGCTATACGAAGCGCCTTCTAAATCTGGGTTCGGAACTTCTTAAAAAATTTGACTGCACAGGAAAGAATAATGGTGATCAATGTCTTCAAGGTCTGATTAAGTTGACTATGAGATAGAAACGAGTAAAAATAAAAAAAGGAAGATAGGTACCTGATTGTCTCTTTCCGTATTGTTATACACATTCTGTTTCGTTTCTTTAGTGAGAAACGAACAAATCTCATGTATTGGAAACACTACCCGTTCCAAAGTACGATCTTGGCGAACAATCTGAAAAAAAAGCTACCGAAAGATCTCTAGAATGTGCCATGTTCTTGGAATTTTGAATCGAGATTATTTTGATGGGCACATCTTTCAATAGGTGATATTTTGTGTGATACACTTGGTGATATGGGCTCGTTTCATATGAATTTGTGAGGGCATGTTCTTATGCATATTAGGGAACGTTTCATATCCATGAAGAAAAGCATCCCAGTGTGCTCAGATTTTTTGCTTGGTTTAACCCGAGCGTATGCAACATGATTTGATTCAGGGATGGGGGCGTGGTAAGCAGCGCACTTGACACTACTTCCACTTCCTCCCAAAATTTATTTATTAGCTTATAGAACACAAATGCATGACATTTACAGAAGATGTACACGGTGGGAGAGTGGAAGTGGTTATGGCAAGTACTACCGCATGCTGCACCGAGCGTCCGGAGGATCACTCCTGGGTCTGTGAGTCGCCGGTCCAAACTAAGCCTTCCATCTCCGCTGGGTGGTTAATTGGTCCATACTATTCTCTTTAAGAGTAATAAAAAAACATTGATTGTCCATTCGGCTGGCCGCACGTCATCGTATAGGCCACATCGCACTCAAACGCCACTACCAATGTACAAATGGAGTAGAATGCGCGCCGCATCCCAAGACGGGATTAATATTGATTAATCAACGGCAGTTTTATGCTTTAACCTTTATACAGGGTGGGCAAAAATTACGGTAACAAGATAAAGTGTTCATGGAAAAGCAATGCGGCCAGGAAGACACACGTGGACACCAACAATGTATTCATAGGAAGTTACAGAATACAACATCACTTCTTGGACTGGCCGCTGTCTTGCGTTTATACCTGAGTGAAGTCATCTCGGGAACGCATCGTGGCCTGTTGTGTAGGTAGGTGACATCGAGCTTTCCCTAGGATCTTCTTTAATTCATCGATGCTTTAGTGATACTTGTAGCAGCCCATCGTCTTCAGTAGACTCCACGGAAAATAACCCACTTGCTTTAAAATGGGAGAATAAGGTTGGCCACTCGTTCAATGTCATGAATTCGGAAAGTTCTGCAAAACCAATGTTGCACAATATTTGCTTTGTGTACAAGCGGTCTATCTTGCTGTTGTGTCCAGTGATTTCTCTCCGGGGTCTCTTCAGCCAGATGCATTTATTAGGTTCGAAGGAAATCGAGATGTTTTTTGTTAGCGTTCTTGTTACCGTGATTTTTGCCCACCCTTTGACAAGCTCTAAAGTTTCAATTTATTTCGATAACATTCATGAAACGAACCTCTATCTGCGCCGTGTGCTTCTTGTAGAACTCGAGCGCGTTCCTAGTCTGCGGAGATTTTTTATCGTCATCTGGATCGAGGCACTCGGCCAATTCCGGACTATGCCTGGATAGCTGATGAGCGAGAATGTAGATATTGTGACCAACCTAGGAAGTCCATCTTCTTTAAAGCTACACACGGTTGTAATTCTAATTTTTTAATAATTTTATAGAAAAAATTTTGTCCTAGGATTAGGGACCTAGGGCTGCGGGCATCTGAAGGTTACCGCAACCATGGTCGTAATAGGTGAGAGCTTCTTTCCAGATACGTTTAAGAACGACAGTTTGTGGGGTACCTCCCAGCGCGTGCTGTGCGATATGAGACGTAGTATGGTACACTCTGTTTAACCTGACGCCTAACCGCTACAGTATGCGCTGCGACTCGTCCTTCGCCGCGCGATGGGCCTCTTGGGGGACACCCTATTTTTAGACGTTGCACCAAATAGGCGTAAGAGCAGCACGAAAACAAATATAAACTGCCAGATGAGCGGGTTTGCGAAAAAGGATCTGTTTTTATCACAGAGATGGCGGCTAAAGAACTCTCCGCCAAAGAGCGAAGCAACGAAACTTTGGCAGGAGCACTACCATCTTATTACCGAAGGCTACTGTTGATAAATAATCCGTGGCTTTCGATCAGAGAAGCCTTTGCTTTAGGGATCGGCGCAATGTGGCTGGGGGGGCACTCTGAGAAAAGTCATCTAGGACTAAGCCTAAACAGCAGGGACGAACTCCGGAGAATACGAAAATTGCTTCCGTACACCGGAGTTCCTCTCCTCTTCAAAAGCTTAGTCCTAAAACGGAGCGTTTCCGTGATTTTGACGCGATGTTGCGAGGTGCCCCCCCCCCCCGCCCAGGCCACATTGCGTACAACTCTTCAAAACCGTGTCTATTTGTAGTAGCTGGCTCGTATTCTATAAATTTTGTAAGCAGAAAATAAACGGAGAGATTCAATTGCACACCTCTTTGGGGTCGACAGTCGACGCTTCATCAGCCACGTACTTCAGATCCACTTTAGCATCATCATGTATGGAGACGGTTCCCGACGAATCGACGGAAATCTCCGGCAGTGTTACTGAAAATGGTTCTGCGAGGCGGTTTCACACCAGAGCTTTCTTGACTCAGAACAATAATGAAACGTGTACAAGAAACGGAACCCTAATTGTTTTATACATTGTAAAACGCAATTCTCACCCTCCTGAATCCTACTCAACCGCTTGAAAAATCTCTAGTATCTGACTTGATAATTATACATATATTATCATAACAAATTAGAGGAGGATCTCCGCTGTTTTTCAACGTTCAAATAGCGCATTCTATTTCCATGGGTAAATCGGTAACTATAGGTACCCAAAATGCTTTCTAAGAAGCTTAGTGACAAAATGATCAATAAAAGATGACTGAAAGCACGTCTATACCTCCATCTGTTTTGATAAGCGGGCTGACGACACTAGTGGGACCGTCTTGAAGATTTGCCTGGTGCAGAAGTTCACGCCGCATCTGGATAATCTCGTACTGCTTCGAATGCGCCATTTCATAGGCTTGAGTGAGTGCATGTACCTGGAAGAAGTACTATTCCACAAACATCTGCAAGTTAGTTTGAACTATCCTTATTATGGCTCAGCGGGAAAATGATGACAGTATGTACTTTCAACTCTCACAGCAGTGAGGTTCAAATTTTATCCCAGCCAGACAAGCCCAGTTATCGACAGCAGAGTACTTCTTAACCGATGGGTTGTCTTCGAGGTAAAACCCGGCTCAGCCAAAATCACAAAATTGCTGAAATCTTCAGCTAGTTCTTGGAAGCCAATTTGATCGAGAGCACAATCTAATCTAGCACCTTCCAATAAGCGCACAATGCGGAGATCTTCCCTAAGTGACTAACAGCCAGGGAGGCGCACCCCAACGATAACATAACTGAATACTCTGATGCACGATTGAATTGACCTCTGTTAATGACTCAAGCTGGAAGCACATTTACCACTAGCTTGATGGGGGAAGCATGAGTATCGAAACAGTCAGTCCCTCAAAGTTCAACAGCGCCATAGATAGGAATCCATCTCCGGCGAAAGCCCCGCCTTCGCATCTCTTAAAGCATGTCCAGATACGACTCGTTTTTCTATTCATACATAATTGGTGCTTGGTCAAATTCTAGTCCGGCAAGTAAAGAGCAAAGGAAAAGAATTTGGGTGGAAAACGCTGCTAGACAACGGCTTACATCGGCCTGTAAATGGCTGACAACTTAAGCGCAAGAGGCGTGGGAGCACAACAAAATCAAGAGAGCCGCCCATGAGCCAAAGCCTGATAAAAATGCTGCTTCAGCAGCTTACTTTTGCATAGGCCGACCTCTTTGGGGCATGGGTGCACATCTGTGCTTTCCTCAACTGTACGCTACTCCTACCTACGAGAGAAATTTCGTTCATAGAAATTTCTGGGCTTGGCTCTTTTAAGGCCAAATACTCACGCGCGCGTTGCAACGGCAACATTTCACGATTCAAGCACACCAAAAAGGGCATCGTACGCTGTTTTGAATGACGTCAAAGATTGGTGAATTCCTTCAAAACCCACCAATTGTCGTGGTCCTCCGTCTGTGTTGTCCATATTTTGTAGAACACGTTCAGCATTTTCACTATCATGTCGCGATTCCATTATAGCCAACAGAAGTTTAGACGCTTGACTCTGAAAATTGCAAATTAGCAACTAATCCATTATTTTGTTCCGTTCGCTGCAGAAGCAAGAGTTGGCTTCGAAAAAAGCTTATAAAATTTCGTTTAGTCTCCGTCTAAGGGCACGTGCGAAACGGAGACTAAACTACTCTTTGATCCCACCCCCTAAATAAAATTTTGGCAAAAGTACATAAACAATATTGAGATCCAAAAACAACTTTTGGTTTTACAAACTGAATGACTCAATTATATACAAAATCAATAATTTTATTATAAAAAATCAGGTAATAAATGGAGTGGTAGTAGTGATCGTGTGGACCTGGCTTATGAGCCTTGATCAATCCTGGTACTTGTTTTGCTTGCACTCGATAAAGCAAAGCAATGGGGCACAAGGCGGCCTCATAGGCTCCGCCCACATGCACGAGGTCCCGCCCACAAGATCGTGGTGTCCGCTGCCTTTAAGGCAATAATGTGTAAGAAGAGTACCTTGATCTCTAAGGCTAATTCCATGTGATCGTCTGCTAGCGGTTTGATGTCGTTCAGTACTAATGAGATAATGATGTTTAGACCGTTTTCTTGCATGGCCATTGTGTTCTGAAATAATTAAGTTATTAAAAGGCATCAATATGTATTGGGTTACTATCCCTACAATATTGAGACTGTACGTCACGGTGATGTATTTGGCCCGACAATCGCATAAAGTCTAGACTGGGCCAGCTTCCTATACAAGCAAAACTTCCTTGGAGTAATTGGGAATTGAAAAAGTTGAGATTGAAGGCATGTTCCACACCAGC